TTTGTTAATGATAAGCGGTAATGTCAAAAAATAAGTCAATATGTAAGATGTCTTAGGAAAATTAACTGAATGTATTGTATAATGTTGCAGATTTTATGTTTAGTGCGGAACATATGTATGTGAAAACAGAATTTGAATTCCACCAACGTCCATATAAGTACTACATAGGTATAATCAATTTCGTTCTTCGAACAAATCATCCGTCGTATATGTCGGTCAGTTTATGAGCTATTTTTTTATAAAATTGCTCGAAAATATGTTTTCGAGTATACCTGAGCATCGTCAAAAGTAAGTGCAGTCAACCCAGGCCTTTTCTGTCATCAATATACCCTATATAGTGATTTTCGACTTGCCGTCTTTCTTTAAACAGCTTAGATTGTTTCAAATTAAAGAAATTAAGTGAAAAATCTGTTTTAAAAATTATGTGGCTTAGCGCCTAATATGGATGGAATTGGTTTGGATCTTGGTCCAAATTTTTTATCCCTAATGTAATAAATTCCGATCGTCTGGTTGACTTGCTGAAAATCAACTCCATATAAATATTAAATTTACCCTCTTCGGTTAAGTTTATGTCAGATATATCTTAATTAATATAATTATCGCTGACTGGAAGTCAGGTAGATATAGGTTTAAAACTAATTGAGTCTATGACTCATTGTATAAGTAAATAAGATACAAATTTGATTGTAATCCATTCACGATTAATCGAACAATGAATGTTAAATTTTTCGAAACATTTTTATACTCTTGTAACACGTTGCTACAGAGTATAATAATTTTGTTCACCTATGGTATCACCTAAAAATAATCGAATTAGATATAGGGTTATATATATAAATGATCAGGATGACGAGACGAAGTGACTGTCTGTCTGTCCGTCCATCTGCTCGCCTTTGCAAGCTGTAACTTGAATAAAAATTAAGATATCTCGATAAGACTTAGTAGACACGTTTGGTTTTGTAGATGGGCATAATCGGACCACTGCCACGCACACAATCTGCCATTATATGAAAACCTATCAAAATCCATCACTAAGGTCATAATTGAGATATAAACCTGTAATTTGGCGCAGGTATCTGTGTAGGAGCATCTATGGTTGGAGAAATTTTCAAAAGTGGGCGTAGCCCCGCCCCCTGTAAAGTTTAATGCTTATATCTTCTAAACCAATAAAGCTATTTGACCCAAATTTGCATAAGACAAATTTTTTCATCCCTTCTTACGATAGTATAAAAATAGATAAAATCGTATGATAACGACGCCCAATCCCCATATAACTATTTTGTAAAAACTTCTAAAAGGACGATAAATCAATAACTCAAAGCGTCAGAGACATGAAATTTTACATGCGGGATGTTATGAGAGCCAGTGTCAAATTTTGTACCTAGGACTATTTTGATATTCCCATGTTACATATAAAATTGGTGAAATCGGAATACAACCACTTCTACCTTCCACGTAACAAAACTTTAAATTTCATCTGATATTTTCACTTTCCAGTATACAAATCTAGTACCAATTAATATATTAGTATACAACTTTGCATGAATATTGATATCTCAAGTTTAAAAATGGTCCAAATGGGACCATAACTATTCAAACCCCAAGATACCGGAAATATGGACCCCCGAGCCTGTGGCTGAGGTTCTACCGAAAATAAAGGTCAGTGTGTGAGATATATTATTGAAATTAGGAAAAAAATCCTTTATTCTTAGTAATATGTCTATATGTCATAAATTGGTTAACTCGAGAAAATATTTCCCTTAGCCCCTTTATATCTAATATAAAGATTTTCGAACTTCCGGCTGACTTTATACCCCATATATCTGAGCGTGTTTTTGTCCTAACGGTGCATCTGTGTGCCTAAAATATAAAAAATCGGGTGAAAACTTGCACTAGCCCCAATTAAACTAATATCAGGATATTGTTGACTGTATGGGAAGTACTTTAATGAAACGCTGAGGGCATCTGTTCCTAGTTCAAATATGTAGTAATGCCAAGAATAGATAAAATCGTGCCAATCTTCTATATATTTTATATAACCTAATAAAAGATTTTCAAATTTCCGTATACCGTATATATCGGTCAATATGTAAGATATCTTAGTAAAATTAACTGAATGTTTAATATAGGATTTACATTAGTTTAATGAAAAATTATGCTACATATAACAATTGCAGATATGGCTGTCAGTCTGTCCGTCCGCCTGTATATACGCGAACTAGTCTCTCAGTTTTTGAGATATCAATCTTAAATTTAGCAAGCTTTTCTCACCCAGTAGCTGCTCATTTGTCGAAATGGCCGTTATCGGACCACTATAGCATTTAGCTGCCATACAAACTGAAAAATCGGGATCAAATGCTATAGTGGTCCGATAACGGCCATTTCCAGTTCTAGTATGGAAAACTTCTTCATTTGAATAGATATCTTCTTAAAATTTGGAACGATCTATTATCCAAAGCAATAATGGAATATCCGAAAAAATTGTGCAGAGCGAATCACTAGAGCATGTAGCTGCCATACAAGCTGCATGATCGGAATCAAGTTCTTCTAAGGAACCTTTCGTATTTGTGAAGGGTATTCTAGATTCGGTGCAACCGAAGTTAACGTTTTTTCTTGTTTATATTATTATATTTTCATTTTCCAATGGGTATCTACCTACTATAATTTTTTCAATTTGAAAATTTTCGAAGACGTCCTCACTTCTATATTCAAGAATATTTATAAAAGTAACTCACACTTTCACCGATATTTTCTGCATAAACTCAACTAAAACAAGTAAGGAAGTTCTAAGCTCGGGTGTAACCGAACAATTTATACTCTCGCAACTTGCAAAGATCAAAGCCCGGAAAATTATGTCAGGTGTTGGCAAAATTTTATATTAAAGGAAGTATTGATGCGATTCAACCCATTTTTGACACAAAGACATACTATTATCGAGAGTTTCATTTATTTATTTTATTATATAAATTAAAATTATATATCTTACACATTGACCGATATTTTCGGTACAAAGTCTACTGGGGTCCACATATTCAGTGCCTAGGGGCTTCAACAGTTTTGGTTCGATTTAGACAACTTTTGGTCACAAGGTGGCATACTTTAAACGCATTATTCACGCAAAGTTTTACCCCGATACAATCATTGTTGTTTGATTTGCATTATGGAAAGTGAAAGAATGAGCTGGAATTTAAAATGGTGTTATATGGGAAATAGGCGTGGCTGTAATCCGCTTTCGCCCATTTTCGCACTATAACATAAGATATGAAAATAATGTTATATATTGAATTTGGTTGAAATCGGTTTAGCAGATCCCACGAAATGGGTTTTCACCTTAAAATGGGCGGTGCCACGCCCATTGTCTAATTTTGAAGTCGGTTTCTATAAAGTCATCTCATACCATTCCAGTGATACAATTTAATGTCTCTAGCGTGTTAGAGCTTAGTTATGGCAAGAGCTTAGTTATGGCAATTTATTTGTTTTTGATTAATGGCGTTTTGTGGGCGTGGAAGTGGCCCGATTACGCCCATCTGCAATACCAACCGTCCTACGGTACCAAGAAACATGTGTACCAAGTTTCATAAAGATATCTCAATTTTTACTCAAGTTGCACAGACGGACGGACAGACAGTCACTCGGATTTCAACTCGTCTCTTCATCCTGATCATTTATGTATATAAAACCCTATATCTAATTCGATTAATTTTAGGTGATACAAACAACCGTTATGTGAACAAAACTGGCGAGAGTATAATAATGATAATACATAATTATATTTATTTAATATAAGGAGAAGTACTGGGCCAATTTTGTTTATTTGTAATACCAGCTCAGATTATTGTCAAGAAATATTGCTCAACTAATATCATTATGATATTCAAAGTTAACTCATATTCGGTAAATAAGTGTTAGAAAAATATAATTAAATAATATATAAAATATTCATAGAAAGTTTTATTTCTATATCCTCCTTAATGCTTGATATATCTATAGTTAAAAGGTATGGTATCATATGTAAAGCAAGTTTGGCTGTAATCCGATTTTACCTATTTTCCTTCTTTAATATAATTAAATTAACCTATTCAAAATATTATATAAACCAAAATCGCGCAATGTCGGTTTGGATAACAGCATCTCCCTTATAAATTAGATAAGCATAGGTTCGAATGAAGCATATACATGATAATTCGAACTCTAACGGTTATAAAAGTTCAGTTTGAAACTTGTATGAATATTGTTTAACCGAATTTCATTTAAAGTAATGGTTCTGTGTACAATTATCTATTTTTACCTGATAATATTTTTAAAAACCTATTATAATAAGTGCGAGAGTATTTATGATTCAAAACGATTGTTCGAAAATGAACATGTGCGTTAGAACCACAAGGACAAAGACGGCGTGCAGCAATAAATTTAGTTTTATTATTTTACATATTAAGATAAGAAACATGTTAGAAAATACAGTCCACTAATCCTAAATATGTATGCTCAAATATATTTAACAGGCATACATACATACATAAGCAAACACATAAACAAATATACACTCATATGATAACTTGTAGACCTAAGATATATATTTAAGCAATTGATTGGAAGTGCACATGTGCACTTGAAAACAATCCCATAACATGTAGTATAAACAATGTGCTACATACATACGGACATACACACACACACACATGTATTGAGTTGTACTTAAAAACAACCCTATGTGGTGTGCATGCCAAATGCACTCATACATATGTATACATTTAATTAGATAGTAAGATTTGTAAATAGTATATAAGCGATGCATTTAACAAAATAAAATTAGAATGAATAAGTTCTCAGCTCAATGAAGTCTTTTTCTGTCCCCCATCAGCGGTAAGGCAATTAGAATCTTCATTGAGTTTAATAATTGGTCTTACAAATCAATTATTCAACGATCATATTCCTACTCTTTTTTATTATATTATAAAATCAAACTCAACTAATAAATTTAATTTCTATATATTTAAAAGCTTCTTATGCTAGAGGGCAGCAAGTTTATCTTGCAGAAAAGTTGAAATCACATTCGCTGAGTGAGGATCCACTGATCGCGCCTCCATACAAATTCGCTCACGTCGCGTGCATTATGGCGATTGTGGTAAGTGTTTAAAGAAAGTATACCCTACTCCCTTATATTGCGCGAAAAATGACTTATTGTAAAATGTATAATTACGTACTTACTCCTGCCATAAGTTCTGTTACAAGTTGAGGCCGAAAACTATTTGAAGTTGAGGCAACGAAACTCTAATATATTTTATAATTAAGTTAATTTTATTTAATAATGCATATATTAAATGAACGCTTTACAAAATTTTATTCGAAATGGTCACATTTTGCTTTAACACAAGCTCTCAAACGATTCGGCCATTGACCAATAGTAGTACACATAGTTTCTAACTCTCATCAAATTTCTTTTTGGCTATGTTCCCCAATTCTGACCACAAACTGTTGTCCCATGGATTCAAATCTGAACTTAGCGTCGGCCAATCATCTGCAGCTATGAAACCAGGAAAATAGTTTTTAAGCCACTTTTCACGTGATATTTGCTTTGGGTGGATCCTATGGAAGATCCAATGCTCTCCACCGAAGAGAATATTGCTTAGCTAAAACGGTTGGTAACCTTCTAAAACATTCTGGTGGTGCACTTTTGTCCCAATTTTAACCCCGCTTTCATCGAAGTGAAGAGGTGTAACGCCTTTACATGAGATTCCCTACCAATCCATTACAGGAGCTGAATGGTGACCACATTCAGCCGTTGAAATAACATGTTTTGCGTCTTTAGAAGTTTTGGCGTGAATTTTGACGTTTTGCTTATTGCACACGTTTCTTCATCTGTAAAAGCGATACTTTAATGGCTGTTACCGCGTGCCGCGTGAAACCGCCGCTTACATCTGTTGAGCCTAATTTGCTTCAAGAGTGTTGTCTGTAGGTAACCAGTTGGCCGATGGTAGGCTTTCATGTGGAGATCATCTAGAATAAGTTTTGACATTATTGTAATCCATATACCCATTTTCCTTACAAATTTTTCTGGTTTCTAAGGGGATTTCTGCGAATGCGTTGACTAACAGTTTTTATGGTTGAATTGTTTCGATCGAAAAAAGTTTTCCATACAAAGACCTGAGCTTGATAGGTTAGTTTGTATGGCAGCTATATGCTATAGTGATCCGATAGCGGCGGTTCCGACAAATGAGCTTGGCAGCATATAGATAAAGGCTATACCACTTTATTGCGGTGTCCGCATACTCTCTTGTACGAATTCAAAGAAATAGAAGACAGCTAATATAGACCGAACAAAGAAAGTACAGCGTCTACCTATAGGGATGACGTGATTTTGACAGCTCGTGGTGGCCATGTTTGTTTACGGGTTGGTGTCAAATTTTGTTATTGTGTTCAGGTTTGCCATTGGTACAACGTTTGGAAATTGTCCAAGATTATTACGCAAATTAACGTCATATTACGAATTACGCAAATTCATTTAATCGAAAGATCATCTCAGATGAGGCGCATTTCTGACTTAATGGCTTCGTCAACATACAAAATTGTCGCTACTGAGATGAGTTAAATCCTCGTGTGTTTTAGGAAACGCAATTGCATTCCCTAAAATTGACCGTTTGGTGCGGATTGTGGTATGGCGACATCATCGGGCTTTATTTTTTTCGAAATGAGGCAGGTAATGCTGTTACCATCAATAGATCCTCTCGATTATTTTCTCTGGGGGTATGTTAAATCATAGGTTTACTCCAATCAACCAGCAACGCTCGAGGAGCTCGAACACACTCAGAGCAGCGCACTATAGCCAAAATTCCAGCAAAAAAGCGTGGAAATAAGCAAGCAGAGCTATTTGGCCGACATATTGTTTAAATCATAAATGACATAAAATTATTTGCATAACAAATAAACAGAACCCATTTTGACCAAATTTGATTGCTTTATTTCATTTTAACATCACGTTGTTTTTATTGGTAGACCCTATACATCAAAATGTTTTGGGAGAAGGGTATAATTTATTACGCTACGTATGTCTGCCTGTCCATCTCGTACAACTACATATATCGTATGTGTCAAACGCTACATTTAAGTGAATGTGGGTAAGATCATATTTTTAAATTAACATACTTATATCAAATGTGTCAGGTGCTTGCCACCATTTCATAAAATATCAAATCCGAGAAGTCCGATAATTTCATATAAGGAATACATATATGAATTGCGTCCCTTCATTTACTACCTTTTGGATAACTTAAATAATAAATGAGGTATACGTAGCATGTCATATATAAATTTCGTCATATAATAAAAATCCAACGTACTTCTCCAAATAATGAATACTAACTCTCTCCTACAATAAATTCCTACTGTGAACAAGTGTGTCTATGGTTCGGTATCGCTCGAACTAAATTCAACTATGCTTATTTCTAATTGGTTGTAATATCTTTCCAATGCACTTACAGGTCCTTGTGATGTTTTTCTTACTTGTGATGTGCTCATTGTGTACAAAAGGGAATGTTATGATCAAAGCTCTTTTATTGTAAGTTCACATGCAAGAAAATGCAATGAAAATTGGAATAAACTATCCGTGCAGCTAAATTTTCAAAATTTATTCATACACAATTTTTTCAAGTGTTTATATAATCCTCACCCTGCTTTTAATACTGATGGCGTTTGTTACATTTTACCATTTCTTTTATGGGATTATTGAATATAATGGATTCTGTCATAAAATGGAAGAGTAAGTTTAAGTCTTCTTATATTAATAACTAACGTTTATTTAATTTTTTCCAAAGGATTTTTATGCATTTCTTAACCTAACAACCCTTTTGTTTTAACAACAGATCGGCTGAGAAACAAAATTTCAATCACGTAATGTTAACAGATTGCACCAACGATCAGAATTTCTATACATTATTGTTGGAAAATAATTTGATTCCCCCCTTTTCCAAGTGGATAGATTTAAATACAGCGAAAATACAGGAAATCTGCGAAGACACTTGCCGACCCCTGAACATGACGATCCTCCAGAGGTTACGACCAGAAGTTGAGAAATTGCCGAAAAAAAATCACTTTTGTAAATTTAAGTCTATCACATCAACCTGGCTGACACCTATACGCTTAGCACATGTCATATATAATTCGAGATTCTTAACAGACGATTGGTTAGTAAATTTTTACTTCTTCTTACTCGCCTTCATTTGCATTTATATAATTATCATGTAGGATTATAAAAATTAATGAAACTTATTATCACGATCGTGTAAAATTTTCGAATTGCAATTTGAATATGGCAGTTAAAGCAAGCAAATTTAACCCAACAGTCAGCAAAATGGAATTTTGGAAATGCCGAGCAGCCTACATAGTTGGTAGAGACTTTGCAGTATCTATTCCGTCCATCTATGGCGAAGTGAAAGATATGTGTAAAACTACTTACGAAAAATGTGTATACTACAACATTCACGATGTACCAATAATAATTACTAACGTAAATAATTATAAAACAAATGTTGAACGCAGTCTTAAAAATGCGCTAGGATCATGTGCAACTATACTGGACATGATTAAAGCAAAACAAAACAAATCTTGTAATTGCGAGACGTATATATTGGTAAGACACATTATATAATATAACTTACGGCCTATATCATGCAGTACTCTCTTATTACAATACTCAATACTGTTACTTTATGACTACAATAACTCTAACGCTTCTTTTTGCTTTGTAGAATGGTGTCTGGATTGGTGGTTTACTGTTCGTAATAACTTTGTTTCTGGCCCTACTTTTGCTGGCCGGCTTTATATTTAAACTTGTAATATGTAGAGATCATCGGGACGAAAGGTATATACCATATATGTGTAGACGTAAAGAAACGTATTATTAAAAGCATGGAATTTGTTGTTAAGTCCAAATAGGAAAAGTTCACATTATCAACGGCATGTTGAGGGTGGACGATAAATAGAAAGTTTTATAAAAACTTTAAGCTACTTCGGAGAAAGATTGTTTTACACTACCTACCGACCGGCCACCTTTAGATAAACTTATTCTATGATACTACACCGGCAACCATTATATTGGGTGATCCAAGTACGTACTGTAAAGAATGTGTATCGCGTGCTTCGCTCCACTTATGGTGAACATAATCAGCATACTTTTCGCAACACTATCACCCATCTTGAGACCCAGCATTCATTATTAAATAATATTCGACCGAATAGACCACGTCCAGCACGCAGTAAAGAAAATATAGCGGCCATAGCTAAGAATGTACACGATCGTTTCGGCGCCGATCGCAGCAACTCGGACTGACGTATGGAACGACTTGGCGCATTTAACGTCGAGATTATAAATTGAAAGCGTACAAAATACAGCTTGTGCAAGAACTAAAGCCGCTCGACCTTTCCAAGCGACATCGCTTCCCTCTATGGGCTCTTGAAAAGTTCTAAGAAGATCCGACGATTTTGAGTCAAATTTCGTTCAGCGATGAGGCCCATTTCTGGCTCAATGGGTATGTAAACAAGCAAAATTGCCGCAGTTGGGATAAACAACAACTTGAAGAGATTCAGATGCTACCATTTTATCTATAAAAAAACAAATGTTTGGTGTGGTTTGTGGACCGGTGGAATCATCGATCCATATTTTTTTAAAAATGATGTCGGGGAGAACGTAACCATCAATGGCGACCGTCAATATCGCGCCAGGATAACCGACTATTTGATGCCTGGAATTGAAGCTTGTGATCTAGGCGACATTTGGTTTCAACAAGACGGCGCCTCTTCTCACACATCGCAATAATCAATGGATTTATTGAGACAACACTTCAGTGAGCACATAATTTCACGGTTTGGGCCGGTCGATTAGCCACCAAGATCGTGTGATAGACTTTTTCATGTGGATATGTAAACTCTAAAGCCTATGCGGATAATCCCTCTTCGTTTCAGGTCTTGGAACAAAACATCATTAGTGTCATTTGTCAGTTACTAGTTGAAATGCTCGATTGAGTCATCGAAAATTGCACTCAACGGATGGACCATTTGCGACGAAAACGCGGCCAACATTTGAAAGAGATCTTTCAAAAAATAAATGCCAAAGAATGTTATTTCGAATGATAATAACATTCCCATTTAAATTTGCATATTCTATTTTTTTTTTTTATAAAAGTAGGGAACCTCAAAATGGATCACCCTCTATAAATTTTTCTTTCCATATAAGATGTTAACTCAATCAGGTCCCGAAACCAAGAACCATCACGGTTCTATAGGTAGTTAGGTGGCATCGTATTTAAGAAAAAACAAGTAAAAAAGTTCTAAATTCGGGTATAACCGAACATTTTATACTTTCGCAAGGTTAGGTGATATACTAGATTTTCGTAAATATTATATATTAATCAAAAGTAGACAGTATTGCATGTATTATTTACAATTACAGGCAAGAAGATACACTATTATTAGAAAGAGATTGTTTCGCAATTTCATTCAGATTTTTAACTTATTGACCGATAGATGCAGTGTAAAGTCAACCGGATGTTCGAAAATATTTACATTAGGTATTTGGGCTAAGATTTTACCCATTTTTGGCACAAGGATATATTATCACAAGAACATTTCCCTGAATTTTAATTGTCGATAACTTAAAAGTGCTATATGGGAAATAACGTGGTTGTCAATCGATTTCGCCAATTTTAACAGTGACTAATAGAAATGATTGGCTAACAAATTTGTTTAAAAATGGTTTATTAGTTCCTGAGATATAGAATTTCACTGAAAAGTGGGCGGTGACACGCCCATCGTACAATTTTTACAACGGCTCCCATAAAGCCCTTCCCCGCCATCCTGGCAGAGAAATTTAATGGTTCTGGCTCTTTTAATCGGCGACACCCAAACTTTGCTCTTCCTTACTTGTTTTTATAATTATTATATGAAAGGAAATAGGTGTATTGACCAAAACAATGTCAAGACTTATTCAAGGTGATCTCCACATGAAAGCCTTCTATCGATCAGCTGGTCATTTTCCGAAAGCTTGAAGCAAATTACGACCACGAAAGTATTATTTTTACTGATGAAAAATTATTCACTGTCATCTATGCAAAAAAATATTATTCCAAAATTTCAACATGAACACCATCCATCTACTGTTATAAGGTTAAAACTGGGACAAAGGGGTATAGCGTGATAAAACAGTGAAGTAATACTTCCTTCCAGAAAGATTCTCCTCTAGCAATATTCCTGGTTTCATAGCTGCAGATGATTGACGGTCTGGAAGTCCATATTTTAATCGATTGGACAACGGTTTGCGATCAGAGTTGGAAAACAGAAATTAGAGAGTCTGATCGGTCGAACCGGTTAAAACTTGGGTAAAATCAAAAGGTGACTATTCCTAATAAAATTTTCTACATCGTTCATTTAATATATGCATTATTAAATAAAATTAACATTTAAAAAACAATTGTTTTAGTTTCATTTTTACAACGGCTGAACGTGTAACAGAACTTATTGCAGAACTAGGTACATATTCACATCCATATGGTTTATCTGCTAACTTGAATAAAATCACGATTAGATGGATATTCAGTTTATGTACTTTTGTGCGGATATTCAGATTTAAGAAGATCCGGTATTTTGTTAATCGTCCTTTCAAATATCCAGATATTCACATTTATAGTTTATACAAATAAAATCTCGTAGTTTTGGATCTATGGTCTAAATTCTCTTATTGCGATATCCGAATCTACGAAAATTTTTTATTCCTAACTTTTTTATGAGCAGCCCTATGTATAAAATTCTTTGTAACTTTTATGAGGTCCCTAACATTATATTCGTATATCCGAAATTAGTTTCATTCGTTTAGATCTGCATATAATGATATGTTCAAATTCTAGCATTTCTGATATATAGTGTCAAAAACTAAATCCAAATTAAAGTATTTAATTCTATCTTGGCAAATCGTTTAAATACATACCATATATAATTAAATTATTATTAAATTAAGTTATTTAACACTTATGTAAGATTTTGAGCTGCAAAAGCTTTTTTGAGACCTCATGAATTTAAAACATATTATAAATACGAGTACAAAGTATATAGTATATAATACTTACACCATACTCTTTATACCTACAGACACGGAGGAAGGAGTAGGGATGATGACTCTGCAGAATCAATACTACTGCCGCCGATAACATTACCAAGACGTGTAATCGATACACTAGAGAATGATGAAAATCCTCGCGTTACCTATCACATAAAGAAACTTAATTAATTAGAGGGCCTGGGCTCTACTGGATTCGTCTTACATGTCAAAAATTTTATTCAAATTATGAATAAGGCAATGAACGTGATTATAAATGGAAAACAGAGAAACTGAAAAATGTTTAAATTTACTTTTAAGAATGCTTGTATGTTATAAAAAATATACACTCACTATGTTTTTAACGATAGATCGTAGGAGCATGTCCAATAAATATACATTTTTAACACTATTGCACCTTGATTTACTGGAATGGTAATTGACAAAGATCTATGGGATATACCTTCCCTGAACTTGACGTAATGTTTAAATTTTTTTAGTGGTCAGTACTTAGAAGTTTTTCGCGATTTATTATAACGGTAATCCAGAAAACGGACAGCTGCGATGGTGGTGCACATTAGAGAAAGCGATGTTAGATCATTAAATTTTAGGTGACATTGGAGGTAATGTTATGGATATGCTTTAATCGATCGGTATCAAATCTGAGTAAAAGGGTGTTTATCTGCTGCAGTATCTAGAATCCTTTTAAAGTTATTTTTGGTTTGGCAAGGCAACACCCGCTCTTCATTTGCATTGGGAGCGTTTTGGACACTCAGAACATCATTCACGGGATGAGAGTTAATGATTTTGTAGCCAAATGTCTATCATAATAATTCTTTCAACTACACAGCAAATATGTTTTTTTTACACTCTCGCAACTTGTTGCTAGAGAGTATAATAGTTTTGTTCACCTAACGGTGGTTTGTATCACCTAAAAATAATCGAGTTAGATATAGGGTTATATATGTATATATAAATGATCAGGATGAAGAGACGAGTTGAAATCCAGGTACACATGTTTTTTGGTACCGTAAGACGGTTGGTATTGCAGATGGGCGTAATCGGACTACTGCCACGCCCACACAACGCCATTAATCAAAAACAAATAAATTGCCATAACTAAGCTCCACGACAAGATACAAAACTGTTATTTGGTGTACAGGATCACATTAGGAAGGGGCATCTGCAGTTGAAATTTTTTTTAAGTGGGCGTGATTCCGCCTCCTAATAAGTTTAATGTGCATATCTCCTAATCCACTTTAGCTATAATAACAAAATATACTGGGAACAAATGTTTTTAGCATTGCTATCGACGATGTGAAAATAGGTGAAATCGGGTGACAACCCCGCCCACTCCCCATGTAACGGTACTATTAAAAACTACTAAAAGCGCGGTAAATCAAGCACTAAACAAGCCAGAGACATTAAATTTTATCTCTGGAATAGTATAAGTACATAATATTCTTCTCATATTTCTATGTTATAGTACGAAAATGGGTGAAATCGGATTACAACCACAGCCTATTTCCCATATAACATCATTTCAAATTCCATCTGATTTTTTCACTTTCCATAATGCAAATCAAGCAACAATGATTATATCGGCGTAAAACTTTGCGTGAATAATACGCTTAAAGTATGCCACCTTGTGACCAAAAATTATCTAAATTTATCCAAAACTGTTCAAGCCCCTAGGTACTGAATATGTGGACCCCAGTGTCTATAGTTGACTATTTACCGAAAATATCGGTCAACATAGAACAAGGCGGCAAGATCCACAAAGAAATCTAAAACGAGTATACCATTTGACTTTGCGAGAGTATAAAATGTTCGGTTACATTCGAACTTAGCCCTTCCTTAGTTGTTATTTTTTCCAACCCATTATTATGTCTACATGGCATTTATTTCGTCTTTTTTTCGTTACAGTCTGGGTTTCTGCACCATCCACATAAACCCAAAATATGACCGAGTATTCAAATTATGTTCAATAAAAGTCCATTAATTGATTATCCTTAAGCAGTGACACTTTTTGTGGACTGTTTACTTGTGAATTAATGAGCTAGAGTTTGTCATACAGAGCCTTGTTGGGAAGACGCCGTTGAGGCAAAGCAATGGATTGATAAAAAATCTGTTCCAGAATACTCCACGTTTAAGAACAAAAGATACAAATGCTTAAATTTTGTGAGGTTAGGGTAAACTGAAATTAAACGAGTTAATAATATCAGAAGATTATAGCATTGTCAAATTTTTACAATGCATAACACAAGTTTGAACATCGATCAAAAAGGAAACATGAAAAAGGTTGTGATACACCATAATCTGTTCCACATCCACCATCCGTGCCACATTGGGCCTGTACCAACTATCTTTTCCTGACTCAAAAAGTGACTGACTGGAAAAGATTTTACTTCAACGAGGTGATCAAGATGAAAGCAAAGTTCTATTTCTATTCTATAACTGATATAGAAATGTTGGAGAACCGTTATCGATTTTTCGCCATTCCAAAGGTATACAAAAGAATTTATTAAACTTAATATTGATGGAAGCAGATAATATCTCTAAGCATATAAGTATGTAACCATATTCTATCACCGTATCAATATACATATGTATGTATATGTTACAAGGAAGTTTGTGTAACTAACGGTAATAGCGTTTATTTATGCAACATAAATAGTATAATATATATAGTATCTATGTATGTATATATTATATGTGTGCATGTGTTGAAGATCGTTACGTAATTTGACTGTGCGCCTCAGCGAAGCATATGAAAAGTATAAATTATATGCAGATGCAATTTTTCGTAACGTTTTCATTTTGTTGATAAAAAGATCAAGCAGCTGCAGTAACAATGTCAGTAGATAAAAGATAACAACTGTTAGCAACAACAAATGGCAAGCATGCAGGCGGGTAAAATCAAAAGTTTTACGAAATTTTCAGCTCTACTCAACGAACGAAAATTATGTAAATATGATGGTGCCGCAAAATGTTCTGTACTTTCCTCCACGTACCATATTCACCATCATTTCTGAATTGTGTTAAGCTGGGTTAGGACACCATACGGCGAAGTTTACCTCACCGCGTTCTCTTTAAATTCGACCTAGAGTATACCGCAACCTGCACCAAGCCAAAACTCAAACAAAATTTTCAGGCAACGAGGAGAGCATATTGCTATAATTTCGCTGAAAATTCCACACAAAATAGGGAAAATCAACGCATTGCCCAAAAACTTTCACCACACTTTTTATTAGTGATTGAGTTTTGGGCATGAAGCAGCGCAAATTTAATACGAATTTATGTTAAATCATCGGAGGAATATCTTTATCATCATAAGGATTTGTGTTGACTTTTATTGGGATAAAAATTAAGCACCGCTCTATGCTTCAAAGCTCCACACATAATAAGTTATGTACATACATATATACAAATGCATAAATCAAAATAAAAGGTATTTAACACAAGTTGTAGATAGCTTAAAGAAAATACATGTGTGTTTGAAACTATAGAATACATAAATTTTGCCAGGGTTGTATAATCTTCAAAGAGCCTTTTATTTAATACATACATACATACATAAAAATATTAGATAGAAGGATATAGAATTATTAAAGTGTTCTCTTAATTAAGATGCTGTTCATAATTTATAAATAAAGCTTACCTTATATGAGCTCTTAATAAAATCTTCTTACGAAATGAAGTTGGTGACACCGTTAAGTCAATGGAGAACGGTATAAATTGATAATAACCAACTTTTTATATGCGCAATTGGAAGCAGTTTGCCTTAACAACATTTGGTTCCAATAAAATGGGGCTATGTTACTTGTCCGACAGCACGTGCAACAACCGAATTATTGGAGATTCGATAATTTGAAGAAATTGTGACATTGAATGGTCTGCAAGAAGTTGTGATTTAACACCATTAGACTAGTTCTTGTGGGATTATTTGAAGTCCTTGGCCTTTTACAATAAGCTAGACTCTCTTCAAGTTTTAAAAGTCAATATTGAATGTTTCTGTGGTTTTGGAAGAAGTTGGCGGATATGTTAAATTAAAGAAATTAGAGCAGTAATATACCTATAGTATAAAAATAAAAAATATTTCAAAAGAAATCTAAAAGTATTAAATAACAAACGTAAAATCCATATTCATACACCTTCAATTAAAACATATGGCAATGACATAAATTAAAATTAGTATTTAGTGGGATATCCTTTTTTTGTAGGCAACAGTACGACTTTACGGCCGCAGGCTTGCAGTTGTCGCAGTCGCTAAATTAAAACCATTTCTTATTTTGAATACGACAATGGGCAGCTATTACCGCTAATATGTGAAATGTAGACTTATTCAAAGTCCTAGCAAATCTAATGTTATTTTACCAACAGAAGCATAAAATAGCACTGATAATGTAATAACAATTAATAATTTGAAAGCAATTAATCGATTTACTTATTTTTTGCACAAAAAATTTCACTTTGAGCAAAATATTTAAATTACATCGAGGTGAAAGGTTGTAGTACGGCAACAAAGAAATTGTGTACATCAGCTGTTTGATATGTCGCTGCCGGCTTCACAATGTTCAAGAAGCTGGCTTCAAGATGACATTTGCCGGGCAAGAAAATTTCCCTGTCGCGTCGTGCCGTCGTCTTTGTGTGCTGTCTAAATAAATGTGTCCATAAGAACGTGTATGTGTTAATATTTGACAGATTCTGACTGTCACGGACATTCGCGGACCACATATTTTTATGTTCCACAAGGATAACAATAATTTTAAACCAATTTCATTGGGAGAGGTGAAAAAAACCAAACAGCCAAGAAAGCTAAGCGATAGAAATGTAACTTCATGGATCTCAATGGGCACTTGAAATGAAAATGCTCAGCAAGTTTTATGAGATAGAAATATTTCCCCGATACCAGAAGCCACTATTCATTATTCTGGAATTTTGGCTGGGTGTTAAGTTAATGAAAAAAGATAGCTGATGTTTTCGCCTCCATTTATAAAACATTTATTCATTCACTTCCATACTTTCATGTTTAAGAAAAGATACAATTGGTTTGTGGTATGAAAAATATGAAATGAAAACTTGTGATTGTAAATTATTTAAATATCTTGAGAAAATTGCATCTATTATCCTGCCTAATTTGGTTGTTGAGTCTTTGGGATTATTATTAATTTTTAAATTAAATTTACTATCTAAAAATTGTACAAGTGGTCAAGCTTCTTCCAAGGCAAAATTGACATTAAAATCACTGCTTAAAATCATTGGCATAGTGTGCAAATATTCTCCTAATTCTGCTGCACTAGAGGGAGTATATGCCAATAATGCCCTATGTATGAATTTTATTATATCGTTAATTTTCTGGTTCGGAGTGATGTAGAGAAGAATCATTACATATGCACCAATATCTCCAAC